TATTAGGGAATTAGGGTAAATAAATACTAAGTTGCCTAAACTCTTAGTATCAAAAGGCAAAGGAAGCCATCCTGGTATACTGTGGATTCTTCAAAGGCTGGACAAATAAGTGGCAGAATGATAAAGAGGGAAAGTAATATCTTTGGGCCTTAATGATTTGCAATACAGATACTAAAAGCTTATCAGGTATATCTTTTTGCCTACTTTCAACATTCAGTTACTATCCAAAATGATCATTTCCAACTGTTATTGTCATACTGTTCCCTTCTCTATCCTAACTGACCTTTGTCCCCCAGACACTCAAAAGACAAGACCCAAAAAGCAAGTTTCCAATCATTGACTCCTGGTTTCTGTTTTCACTGGCCTTGAGTATTAGTCTCATACTATATATTTTTTTCTTATATGCCACAAATGAGTACTGTCATTCTATATCTGTCACTCTCCTTATGACTCATTTTACTCAGCATGTTGCTCTCCGTGTCCATTCATTTATAAGTAAATTTCATGACTTCTTTTTTCCTAATGGCTGTGTTGTAGTATTCCATTGTGTAGCTGTACCATAATTTCTTTATCCAGTTGTCTGTTCTTGGGTTGTTTCCAGATTCTGGCTATTGTGTATAGTGCTGCAGTGAACACAGAAGTACAGATGACATTTCTGCTGTGTTTTTGGACCCACATGTGTATTCCCGGAAGTGGTATTGCTGGATCAAATGGGAGCTCAATTTCTAGTTTTTTGAGGAGTGTTCATATTATTTTCTGAAAGGGCTGGACAGTTGACATTCCCACCAACAGTGAAGGAGAGTCTTTTTCTTCCTGCATCCACGCCAGCACTGGTAGCCCTTGTTTTTTTGAATGTGTGTCCGTCTCATCTCTCTTTTTTAAAAAGTCAAAGGAAGGGGCTCGAGAGATAGCACAGCGGGTAGGGCGTTTGCTTTGCATGTGGCTGACCCAGGTTTGACCCCCAGCATCCCATATGGTCCCCTGAGCACCACCAGGAGTAACTCCTGAGTGCAGAGGCAGGAGTAACCCCTGTGCATCGCCAGGTGTGACCCAAAAAGCAAAAAAAAAAAAAAAAGTTAAAAGAAAATTCTTTTTTTTTTTTTTCCTTTTTGGGTCACCCCCAGCGATGCACAGGGGTTACTCCTGACTCATGCACTCAGGTATTACTCTTGGTGGTGCTCGGGGGACCAAATGGGATGCTGAAAATTGAACCTGGCTTGGCCGTGTGCAAGGCAAATGCCCTATCCCCTGTTCTATATCGCTCCAGCCCCAGTCTCCCTGTTTTAAAAGTCAAAAGAAAATACTGTCTTCAGTGTTTACTTACCTACAAGGTTTTTTTTCTTTTTCATTTTCACAATTCAGGTTTTTTATCTGTTGGCAGTTCTCTTTATTTGGAGAACTTTTCTTTTGTATTTCTTTGTAAGGTCTTGCTAGATAGTAATTCTTTTGTTTAAAGTCTTCAACATACCTTTAGATTCTTTTGTGGAACCTATTTTTGTTGGTTGTATTTTATTTTAGTTATATTTTAGAGTTGAGGTTTTTTCACCTTTTAACTCCTGAAAAGATGTCCCATTGTCTTCAGGGTTTCATTCTTCTGATGAAAAATACTCATGTTTATCTCCTGACATGTATCATTCTCTTCGCCAAAAGATAAAATTTACATTGGTAGAATTTTTTTTTTCCAGTATTTGCTACAGTAGGATGAGAACATGGTTCCATTTTGTTCTGCACACAGATGACTGGGAACAGGGGAATAGGGAGGTACAAAATTACCCAGAAAGTGAGGAAAAGAGGTTTTCACTGTCAGCTTCTGTGTCTGCTAAACGCCATTGATAGAAGTTAGGCTGTAGATTTCCATCCTCCCTCCTCACTTGGAGCTGGAGGCGTTACCTGTCCTACTGATTGATTATTTTCTAAGGGAATGGCTTTTAGGTCTCGAAGAAAGACAAACCTGAGTTGGAGGAGCCACAGAGAGACAGGGAAGGTTTTACAATTGTAAGCTTTCTAAGTACATGTTCTGTGACCTGTGGAGGACGTAGAGATCTTGGGATCAGGTGCCTGTAGACAGGTATTGGTTGAGATAAATGGTAAATTGTTTCATCAGCCTTGAGCTTTTCTAGGTAGAAACTCAAGTCAAAAGAGTCTGGGTCATACCTGGGATGTAGCCTTTGGTTGCTGGCAGCCATTACTAGAGAGTTTAATCAAGTTTCTGATTGCAGGGGTTTAGGTGGAATCCTTATGCCAAGCATTTCTGTGGTCCTTATTCATTCAGAGTTGATTTTTTTCAGTCTTTTTTTTGGGGGGGGGGGTGCACACCTGGTAGTGATCAAGGTTTACTTCTGACTCTGCCCTCAGGGATCTTTTGTATGGTACTCAGAGAACCTTGAGGTTCTAGGAATGGCCCATACAAGACAGGCCTTACTGTATTATCTTCCAAGCACCTGCTCATCTTTTATTTTTAAAATTACATGCATGAGAGGTATATCCTTTGAAGTTTTGTTTTTAAATTGTTTTGTGTTCATTAAGTTCATAGATGTATAGGTTTAGTTTCCAACTAAAATTACAAAACTCCCAACAATTATTATCTCAAATATTATATGGCCTTTTTAAGACAGCATGTGTTACTGAAGCTGTTTATTTTATGTTCTCTTGTTTTAGGTCTTCTGATTAGATTATTCCTATTGATCTATCTTTAGATTTGCTAATCTGTTTTCTGTAACTTTAAGGCTAATGTTTTTGTGTCTGATTTTGTAATTTTCAGTTTTAGAATTTTCTAATTGAATTTTATAGTTTGCATTACTCAACTGAAATTCCCATGACATACCTACAATACTTTATTTTTTAGTGCTGTAAGGTAGTTTTTACTGAATGAATCTAGCTTAGAAAGATGTCAGGGTTGAGAAAGATGGGAACTGTGTTCAAGAGGGAACACAGGCATCTCCAGAGTGAAAATAAGCAAGCAGAGACATAGAGACAAGCAAGTCTGTTCTCCTTTGAACACAAACTTAAAAAGCCCATAGTAGTTACTTTAAAAGTATTGTCTGGGGCGTAGAGAAATAGTACAGCTGGTAGGCCATTTGCCTTGCATGTGGCTGACCCAGGTTTGATTTCTGGCATCCCTGCCAGGAGTGATCTCTGAGTGCAGAGCTGAGAGTAAACCCTGAGCGCTGTTGGGTGTGGCACCAAAGCCAAAAAATTAACCATTGTCTGGAGTCCTTGGGATATGAACCATGATAGAAGGTCCCGAGTTCGATTCCCTGTACTGTGCCTGCTCCCTAGCCAGTACATAGTCTAATACAAAAGTAGGCTTTAGTTGGCATTTTGCCAACCCTGGTTTTCCATCCCATAGCACAATATATGAGCACCACTGGGAATGATCCGTGAGCATAGAATTTTAGGACTAAGCGCTGAGCACTGCCAGGTATAGCCACAAAACAAAACTATAAATAAATGAACTATCCCCAGATAGTTTCTTTTATTTTGGCTTTTGTATTGTACAAATGAAAGATAAATTTGTGCAGCCTTAAAAGCCAGCAAATCTTGTAAAATAGGGTGTAGGAAAGTATCTGGAAGTGTTTTTTTTCTTTTTTTCCCTTAATTGCCCAGTACTATAGTTAATGTAAACTCCAACAAAACATGGCAGAATTGTACCTGAGGCTTAGGTACTGTGAAAGAGGACCTGTAACGCTGAAACTAAGCCTGGAAGCTGGTGCCAGTCACCACCACCCTTTAAATGCTCTCACTCGGATGGAATAAAGTAGCTGGAACCTAATCTCTCATTTGATTTTTATTTTCAAAAGTTGTTCTGAAATGTATCTTATTTCTTTTGAAATTTTGATTTTGTAATATATGGGTAAAATAATAGAGTTTCAGAAATTATCTTTGACTCTTTAGGTGAGGGGGGCAGGGGGAAGTCATACCCTGCAATGCTCAGGAATTGCTCCTGCCTGTGCTCAGGACAGTACGGGATGCTGGAGATTGAACCTGGGTCTGTTGCATGCAGGGCAAACTCCCTACCCACGGTACTGGTCGCTCAGGCCCAGTTTTCTTTTTTTTTATGTACTGCTATTTATTCAGCCACTGATTAGCTGATTGAATTGTCTAGCTGTATCTTTGACTCTTTATTTTAATGCACCTGAGAGACCACGGCAGTTCAAATTCCTTTCCAGGCTACCTTTTAAGTGCTGCTTCTTCCCTTCGCCCACAGATGAGAAGTCACTTTGAAGTGAACTAGTGGCAGGGAAAATAGGGAGAATTGTCCCTGGAACGCCCATGATCTTTCTGAAAAGAAATACTGAAGGAAAAAACCAGGGATTCTCTATATGTGTCTTTCAGGCATATTGATACTTAAAAAGCTAGGTATTGCAAATTTTTTTATATTCTTTAAAGAATTTGGTGCTTTTATGGATTTTTTTTTGTCTTTATAGTAATTGGTTGAAACTTTAAGATATTGTGCCATATCAAATGACTTCAGAGTCCACGTCCATGTTCTCCGTAGTAATAGAACACTAATTGTTAGTAAACCTGAGTCTAAAAATGTATCTCAATCAAATAACCTGAAAATCTTAACTGTCAAAATGTATCTATTTTAATTGAAATTTTGTATTTTAAAAGTACTAGCTGTTTTAAAAATTGTCATGTTTTGATTAAAAAGACTAGATTAAAAGGAAGTACTGTAAGACTAATGGCTGTTAGATTTTTTTTTGTCGTGAAGTGAGGAAATTGGACAAATAGGTATAATTTCATTAATGTAGAGAGCATTGAAGTTCACATTTTAAAAACATGATCATAACTTATCTGGAGTCACATGTTCCATTTTTACTGGCTTCCTTCATATAGAAAATATAGAAACCAGCAAAAAATGCCTGTGAAAACTGAAGAAATGTATATTTTCTGGGTGAAGGAAGTATTCTGTACATTTTCCATGTTTTACATCATGGTATTTTGAATAACCATGCTTCCATGTTCACATCAATTTTTGTTTTTCAATTTATGCACAGCACTTGCTCTGAAATTTGGGGACTGAGTACACCAAATACGATAGATCAGTGGGATACAACAGGCCTTTACAACTTCTCTGAACAAACCAGGTGAATATTCTGCCCTCTATCAAATCCTAGAGATCTTGTGGGAGGTGGGGGGTACTGTGGAAGACATGTAGTGGGTTGCTTAATATAAGTTTGCCTAGAATGTTTCCTTAATGTAAAATAAGGCATGGCATTTAAAATACCTGCTTGCCAGTATGAAAATATATTAAATGTTTCAACTGATGTTTTGATCAATGAAAATCTAATTTTGAATCTTATTTAAATTATTGCATCCCCTAAAGAAAAAGAATTTTGATAACTATATTCTCATTTTAGTTTGAGATAACATTATAATCTATTGTTGGCCTAATTTTTAAATTCATAATCAGTATTTGCTAAATTTCTTGCTATCATCTAAACCTCATCTTTATACTAATAAATACACAGTTATTTACTGAACCCCTTATCACAGTCACACAAACTCATTTTTGTTATATTTTGGTTCTAATCACCTTATTCTCTTTCTTTGAGCATAATGATATTTGTTCACTTCATTTCATCATATTCATCACCATCCGCATTTATGTGTGAGTTACAGAATTGCACCTCAGTATGCAAAAACAGTCACAGCAGGAATGAGTTATATTAGAGTAAGTTACTTTTATATCATTGTTGGTATTTACCATTCTTCACACTACTTCCCTTTTTTGACAATTAAGTCACCCACAGAATTACTGCCTTTAAAAACATTCCTACAGAGTTTCATTTACTAAAGATTTGACAAAATGTTTTTCCAAATATATATTTTTATTAGATATTAGTTTTTGCCCAAGTAGTTAGCCATTCATTGACCTTTGAGTCCTTTACATAGCATAGTTATAAGAAACATTTGTTAGTGCTGCTGTTATTTTTTTTTAATCAGATCCATTAAATAGTACATTTTTCTTCCTTGTACTCACTAAAACAAACTGAATGTCTGTCATTTCTTCCTCTATGCTCCTGTTGTACAAAGTTTAGTAAATTTGACTAAAACTGATTTTTAAATTACCACCTTTCTTATACCTTTGCTTCCCAATAGGTCTCTGGATGGCCGGCTTCAGGTATCTCATCGAAAAGGACTGCCACATGTTATATATTGCCGATTATGGCGCTGGCCAGATCTTCACAGTCACCATGAACTCAAAGCTATTGAAAACTGCGAATATGCTTTTAATCTTAAAAAGGACGAAGTATGTGTAAACCCTTACCACTACCAGAGAGTTGAGACCCCAGGTAGGAAAAATAGAATTTGATTGTCTGAAATTAGATATTGGGACGCATTTTGTGCACTCTAATTATACCTCATTGACTGAAGAAAAATATTACTATAAAACTCCGATCAATTTTTTTTATATTTGCCTTTATTTTTATTTATTTATTTATTTATTTATTTATTTTTTGGTTTTTGGGTCACACCCGGTGATGCACAGGGGTTACTCCTGGCTCTGCACTCAGGAGTCACTCCTGGCGGTGCTCAGGGGACCATATGGGATGCTGGGAATCAAACTCAGGTCGGCCGCGTGCAAGGCAAAAGCCCTACTCGCTGTGCTATCTCTCCAGCCCCTCCGATCAATTATTTAAAACTTAACATAATTTAGTGTTAATTGAAGTGCTTTTTAAAATTTTGGGCCATACCCAGTGATACTCAGGGGTTACTCCTGGCTCTGAACTCAGGAATTACTCCTTGCGGCCACAGAGGACCAGCTGGGATGCTTGGGGTGGAACTTGGGTCAGCCTCATGCAAGGCAAGCACCTTATCTGCTGTACTGTTCACTCTGTCCCCTTAAAGTACTTATTTTTAAAGTAGTTTACAAAAAGTTATGGAAAGATACGGTAGTTTCTTGGGATAGCATACTACTTGACAGCCAAGTATATACACTAGAAGTTTTCAGGCTTGCCCTTCAATCCTATGTTCTCCCTTGAACACATACCTCGTTTGCTTGCCTGTTTCATCTCTGGAGAAGCCTGTATTTTCTCTGGAATACACTTCTCCCATTTATTTCCCTCCCATCTTTCTAAATAAGTTTCAATACAAACTATTTTGCTTCACCAAAAAAAAAAAAAAAAACCCAAGTTGCTTTCATCCCACAAATTTGTAATCTGTTGAAAACGAAACCCATGTTTCCCTTAGTGGTTGATTCTGCCCCTTGGGTGATGGAACACCTCAGACATTAGTGGTAGCTTCGACTACAGTTTGAAGGGCTCTTTCTGTTTGGGTGCTTTGTATCAAAGCAGTTGAGTCAAACTCCAGAGCAGGACTTTTCAGTAGCTTATTTATTTACTTAAAATTTTTTTTTAAATGAAGCTATATTTTTAGAAAATTCCCCAAATCAGATTCTTACAAATCTTTTCATAATGTTTTCCAGTGAGTATTTATGAGCTTCTATGGCAGTATTAATGGGATCATCTTGTTCTGCAAAGTCAAAGATAAATTAGTGCTTGAAGTTTAGATGGTGGTACTAAGTTAGATTTGTCAGCTCCTCAGTAATTCCAAATAGGTAAATCCTAAATTTTAAAGTTAGGCAGGCTTTTTTTTCTTTTTTCACATGTGAAAATTTTTAATAAAGGCTTTTCAATTGTCACTTGTTCTTGCCATTAATTTGAATTTCTTTTACTATTTTAGTTTTGCCTCCGGTGTTGGTACCTCGACACACTGAGATCCTGACAGAACTGCCACCTTTGGACGATTATACCCACTCCATTCCAGAAAACACTAATTTTCCCGCAGGAATTGAGCCACAAAGTAATTATATCCCAGGTATAACTTGCCTCCTAGTCTCCTAAAAAGAAGATTAAATTTTTTTTCATAATTATTCAGTATTAGTAATTTGTAGTCTGACTTTTTATTTTTAAATTATTATTTTGTTTTGTTTCTGAGTTACACCTGGTAAAGCTCCTGGATTTACTCCTGGCTCTGTACTCAGGGATTATTCCTGATGGGACCAGGGGACTATATGGATGCTTGGGGATTGAACAATGGTTGGTTCTCTGCATGGCAAGAGCCCTGCCCTTTATGCTATCTCTGGGCCCTTGATTGACTTGTTAAAGCAAATACTTCTGAATTTTAACTAAAGAGATATGATTTGTTGGGTTATTATTTTGTGAAATAGAGAGCTTAATTTTTTTTTCTTGGAGAATAGCTTTATTTTTACTAAGTTTGTCTTAGTTGCTGAAGCCGAGAGATACAGAATGTAAGCAAAATAAATAAGGGGTAGGGGGGAATTCCTGAAATAAAATGTGACTAAAATCAACCAAACGGTGGTTATCACAGGTTGATAGAGAAACTTTAACATTATATAGAAATAAAAGAATACTTTACTTCTCTAGGTATAAGGACTTAGGATACTGGAAGCCTCTATGTTATTTTTATTTGGGCTCTGTAACTCCTGGAAAATAAATTAATTTTTAGCTTTAAAATTCTGCATTTTCTAATTGCATTGTTTATTGCCTAAGTTTTTGTTCTCACTTTATAATAGTCCCGTTTTACTCTTCACATTTATGCAATTGAGATATTTATGGAACAGAAAGTTTTCTATATATTAAAAAAGTAATTTATTTGCATGCCTCATCATAGAAAAATGCTTATTTTTGAAGGCATTAAATTTTTTTAAATAGCTAACTTTGAATTTAGAAAGTGTTTATTGATTGTTGTGAAGTGCATTTCTTTTATTTCTCTTTTGTTCTAGAGAGAACTTAAGACTGCTTTTCGGGTTGCTAGAAAACAAACTTTGGGGTGGTTGTTAGGAGGAAAGTGTGTAGAGTGCTGGGGGGGTGAAGCCTGGAGGGTAGATTTAAAGGAAAATAATAAAACAATCATTTCCTAGGGGAAGAATTTGGCAGAAAGTAGAGTTATGTGTGTGTGATCTGAAGAGGGAGGCATTTTAAGTCTTTGATGTGAGAATTAGTGCTTTTCAACAATACCAAGAGACTGAGGTGTAAACCACAGTCTCCTAAGAGAACTACTCAGTAATTATGTGGGAAGATGACTTTATCTTGTGGAGATGTTTGCTTCAGTGCTCCCCCAGCCCCCACACCTCTTCTTTGTTTAGTTTAGAATATTTCACAAAGTAGAAAATGAAAAGTTAATCATACTTATTTGCCTTTCTGACCAATGGGCATTATATAGCTTCAACCTAAATTAAGCAAGATTTGAAGTTTCAATTTTTATTCCACTCAAAAGAATTTCTGACTTTACCCAAAATGCAAAAGGCATCACTTTGGGGGCTGGAGTGATAGCACAGTGGGTAGGGCATTTGCCTTGCACGCAGCCGACCCGGGTTCGATTCCCAGCATCCTGTATGGTCCCCCGAGCACTGCCAGGAGTAATTCCTGAGTGAAGAGCCAGGAGTAACACCTGTGCATCGTTGGGTGTAACCCAAAAAGCAAAAAAAAAAAAAGAAAAGAAAAGGCATCATTTGTTATCTTACAGATAAACAATAATCGTGGAAAGCAAAATAGAATAAACTGTTATGACAGTCATTATTTCTTCCTCTTGAGATAATTGAGATCTGGAAGTTTGAGTGACAAAGCTTATTTAGCCTTGTTTAATTTTATTCGCGTTAACCTTTTATAAAGAACATAGTGGAAAATATTATCCCTAATTTAGTTTTCTTTGTTTCAGTTTTTAAGAATTTGTTTTTTATTGAATCACCATGAGTACACTGTCACAAGATTGTTCATGTTTGGGTTTCAGTTACATAATGTTCCAACACTCATCCTTTCACCTGTGTAGGTTTCCCGTCACCAATGTGGAGGGAAACTGGGGACATTGTTGTTTAAGTTTATAGAGGTACATTATTTTACTTTTGGAACTTTCATAATTAAAATTTGGGGGGTTAGGCTGGAGAGACAGCAAAGTGTACTGGATCATGTACTTGCATGCAGGATGCCAAGATTTGAGTGCTTGAGCACTTCTGGGGGTATAACTTGCTTTTGGAAGGGAATTAAGGACAATGAGGGAGACCTTTAAGCCACATAATCACTCTCCCTTAGGATAATTACAAAATATTATAGGCATGTATATTATGAATTGCTTAAAGCGGTCTAGCAGTGTAATCGATGAACTTGATAACTGAAACTTACTTTTGCCTTTTTGAAATTGAAATAGTAATACTGAGTAAATGTTTTTAACATAAAACTTATTCAAATGTCTCTTGAATATTAACATTTTGTTTATAAGACATAATGGAATTTTCAAAGGTTTTTTTTTTCCTTAGTTCTGTACAGTATTCTTTTTTTTTTTAAATTTTTTAATAGTGAGACATCATGAGGTACAGTTGCAGACTTACACATTTTTGTGCTTGGGTTTCAACTATACAATGATCAAATACCCATCTCTGTGTACAGTATTCTATTTTCATTTTCTGCTTCAAAACTCAGCATTTAGGACTGGAGCGATAGCACAGCGGGCAGGGCGTTTGCCTTGCATGCGTCCGACCCAGGTTCGATTCCCAGCATTCCACATGGTCCCGCAAGCACTGCCAGGAGTAATCCCTGTGCATCGCTGAATGTGACCCAAAAAGCAAAAAAAAAAAAAAACTAACATTTACTGGTTAGAAATGTATCTTTGGGGGAATGGGAAAGTTGCTGTGCAAGGGATTAATAATCCCAGGGCTGTGCAGGGCAGACCCTATACCTCCTGTGCATGTTTTTTTTAATCATTTCCCAGGTAGCGACACGTAATGGTCATTAGGGAAAAAACCAAACATAGAATGTGCCAATATCTTTCCAGCAATTTAGAACTGAAGCATTCTTGAACTTACATGTTTGGCTTTTGCCACAGAAAAATTTATGTATGGGAATGAGCCAGGTATGTAAATGATAACTAAGAAAATATGCCTGTAGAACTTGATTGTATTACAAGTAGGCTTTACAGTTCACTTTTAAGATTTAGATCAGAAGCTGATTCATAAGTCCTCCTATCCAATACTGCTTTTTATAATAATATTATATAACATATTTAAAATTCAGAGTGATTCATTGGTTATCTTTGGTAGCTGGAAGAAAAGGTGGTAAGATTAAATTGAACTTGATTTGTTTTGAACTTTTTCTAGAAACACCACCTCCCGGCTATATCAGTGAAGATGGAGAAACAAGTGACCAACAGTTGAACCAAAGTATGGATACAGGTAAAGAATGCCTTCCACATTATTTCAGTAATTAGATTACTGCCTATTAGAAAGTCATTAGTTACTTAGCATTTAGGAGATTGGAACAAATGCCCTAGAAAGAGTCTTTTCTTTTGATTTAATTATATTTTGTATCATCAACTCAGGGAAGGGCCCTGGTGTCAGTGAACAATTAACATAAGTTATTTAGCAGAACCATTTTTTCAAATGTTCTCATTGGGATAAATGAAAATTTGAGAACATATTAAATATTCTACATCTGTAAATATTGAATTACCCTACATAAATGTTTGTGATGAAAGTACTTGGTCCAGTAACAGATCTTCAAAAGAATTTGGAGAAAGGAATGAAAAACAGCTTTTAGTGTTCTTTTATCTTTACAGTGACTTCTTAGTCAATTAATTTCTAGTGTTCTAGCTATCAGCTTCAAATAGGTGGAGAAAAAGTTTTAACGTGTTATGCATAGCAAAACTCTCAATTACTCTGTTATAAAATTTATAACCCACCAAAACTAATAGGTTACTCATGAAAATAGCTGCAATGGCATTGTAATTAGCTGATTTTTTTTGTTTGTTTTTGGCTATGCCTGCCTGTGCTCATGGCGTCCTCCTGACTGTTCTCAGGATCAATCTTAGTGGGCCTCTGGGTACTACTGGGGGTGCTATGGATCGAACCTGGATCAGCCACATGCAATAAAAGTACCCTATCTGCTGTACTGTGTCTCTGGCCCTGTAATTGTGCTCTTGATCAGTTTCATCATGACTGTATCTTAAGGGTTAGATACGTTAATACCACAACCTGATAAAAATAGTATTATCAGCCTTTCTGCAGAGTATACTAGAGCATCCGCCATTTTGATAATTTTTTTTTATAGCCACAGTTCCTTTTCTGTTCCTCCCCTCCTCTTTCCCTTTCCTCTCTACTACTCTCATTGTTGCACGTGGTTGTGGTGCTCACTCATGCTTGCTTGCAGTATGTGATTACAAACTTTCATTGTACACTGACCCTGGAAATTACAAATACTGGTGCTAGGTTATTCAGTCTGGCACCTTGTGCCTGAAAGCCATTGTGGGGAGGCTACCACTGAACCATGAATTAAAATTGATGAAGGCATTGGGTAATGGACATTTTTCAACAATAATTACATTGTTTAAATTCTTCCAATATTTAGATTCTCAGGTTTTAAAAAAGTGCCATAGCTAGTCATACTTCAAAACTGTTTCGTTTATAGCCAAGGAAGATAATCTAATGATCATTAGAAGTATATGTGGTGCATCTTAATACAAATGTCTCACTGCCGATTTTATTTCGGCTTCCAGATACAACTTTAAGTCTTTATGTCAAAGAAACATACGCCTAGATCAGTCAACTGTATTTCTTTTTTTAGGCAGCCAGTGGTAGCTACATCTGGCAATGCTCGGGGTTATTCCTAGCTCTAAACTCAGGAATTCTTCCTGGTGGTGCTTGTGGGACATGGGATGCCAGGGATCAAACTCGAATTGGTCATTTGTAAGGCAGGAACCCACTCACTGTACTATCTCTCCAGTTCCACAGCTATATTGTTTGCCCATGGTGGCCCACTTTTGTGCTTGAAGTGATTAACTATCAGGAGGTATAAATCTAAACCAGAATCACATACCACTTCACGCTCACTAAAATTGGCTTTGATTCAAGAGAACATAAGAAGTATTAATGGGGACTAGACAGCTTAGTTCAGTTGTTAGGCATGCAGTGCAGCTAGATTAGAGTTCTTAACCCCAGCACCACATGACATATCCCCACAAACCATAAACCACTGGGTATAGTCCTGGAGGGCACTGAGCACTGCCAGGGCATTCCTGTTAGAAGTGGCCTGAGCTTCCCTGCACACTGCTTTGAGATAATCCCCCAGAAAATGTGTTAATAAGGATATGGAGAAAATGGAATCTTCATATGTTGCTGGTGGGAATATAGAATGTTTTTGTTACTTTGGAAAAATTTGCTATTCCTCAAAAAATTAAATACAAAATAACAATATGACCAACAATTTCACTACTAGGTGTATGCTCAAGAAAATTGAAAACACATCCATCTACCTTAAATGTGTATACAAATGTTCACATAAGCATTGTTCATAATAATTCAAAAGTGGAAACTTTCCAAATGTCCATCTAATTCTGAATGGGTAAGTTCAATGTAGTATATTCATACCTTAGAATACTAGTCAACCTTAGCACAGAAGGAAGTACTGATCTGTGCATTTTATTAAATGAAGGAAGTCAGATTGAAAAACTATTTAGTATAGATAAGGGTTGCGTCTGACTGACCCTGATTCTTTTCCCCCGCACTGCATGGTCCTCCATCACCCCTGGGGTGGCCTGGGTAATGGTCCGGCACTACAAAGCTGAATAGCATCTCATCTGCAGGCCCTTACATTGAACCACTGCCTGGGTTGGCTTAGAATCCCTGGGAGGATCCCCTGACTACATAATAGCTGGGAGACCTTCCCTTAGGGTGCCTCTGTCACCAACCCTAAGTCAAAAAAAAATTACGTAAACTAGTGCCTGTTAACTTTTTGCTTTCTTTCTCTTAAAAATCTTGTCAGACCTTCATTATTCCCTTAAAGTCTGGTGGACATTAATTCTTGTGAAAGTTTGAGTTCTGTTCCATTCATTTTGAGTCTCTAGACAAAGTTTAGATCTTCCACATAGGAGACAAAAACTTACAAGCTAATAAGTAATATAGCTTGATCAGATTCTGAGCAAGACTGGCTGAGTTTAAATTGTTCCTCTGCTATCTACTAGTTAGGTAAACTAGCATGAAGTTGTTTTTAATCTCTTAAATAGAAGTAATATCACCTACGTGGTTTTCTAAAAAATTTTCTAATGAAAAATTATACCTGATTCCCTCGATTATGATAAATTGTTTTATGGCTAGAGTGATAGCACAGTGGGTAGGGTGTTTGCCTTGCATGTGGCCGACCTGGGTTCGATTCCTCTGTCCCTCACGGAGAGCCTGGCTAGCTACTGAGAGTGTCCCGCCCGCACAGCAGAGCCTGGCAAGCTCCCCGTGGCGTATTCAGTATGCTAAAAACAGTAACAACAAGTCTCACAATGGAGAAGTTATGGTGCCTGCTCGAGCAAATTGATGAACAATGGGAGGACAGTGCTACAGTGCAATGTTTTAAAATAATGATGGATTTTATTTTTAATATACTGTACATTTTATATTTACTAAATGTTTTTTTAACAGAAGCTAAAAGCACAATGCTTCATTGAAGCTCTAATTTTTACTTTTTAATAATGCTGAACTCTACATATACTGGGAAGAGGGGTTCTCTTTTTGGAATGTCTTGACAATAGGCTTTATACTTAGTTCTTAAATACTTGATAGTGTCTGCCATGGCACTCATTTCTTCCAGGGAGGGGGTTTTAAAATAGAAGGTTGAGACTGGAGCAATAGTACAGTGGGTAGGGCGTTTGCCTTACACGTGGCCAACCCAGGTTCGATTCCCAGTATCCCGTATAGCCCCCGAGCACCTCCAGGAGTAATTCCTGAGTGCAAAGCCAGGAGTAACCCCTGTGCATTGCTGGCTGTTGACCCCAAAAGCCCTCTCCCCCCAAAAAAATACATATGTATAAATAAATAAATAGAAGGTTTTTTCGATTTTCAATTTTTTATGTTGGTTTTTTTAACTTGTATTTTGTCATATATTCGTTCTGTCTAGATTGTATCTTTATTATTATAAAAAGTATTTCTGGTAATTTATCTCCTTAATGTATGCAGTATCTAGTAATGTTTCATTTTTACATATAGGAAATTTGATTTTTGTTGCCTTAATGTCTTGAAATAGGCCTATCAATTGAATTTTCAGAGATCCCATTTTTGATTTTAGTTTTCTCTATTGCCTTTATTTTATTTCCTGTCCTTTGATTTCTTCTGTTTATTTTGCAATTAATTTACCTGTCCTTTTAAGCATGTAGTGTATGCTTATATCGTGGTATTTTTCTAATGTAAGCACTTAGAGCTACGTGTCCTTCTAATTGGCAGATACAGGATCTCGAATTTCACCTTCCTGAACTAATCTGTATTTAACAAAGATATGTAAATTAGAATTAGTTGATGAAGTCCGCTATGCTTGAGCTTCTCACTGTTCAGTTCTATGTGTGATATTAATATTTTGGTTGGTTTTTTCTTTGGCAAATTTAGTCCTGTTTGTGTCTCTGTATTGTCATGACAGGTACTCTCAATATGGAAGTGATTCACTTTCTGCTTACATAGCATGTGTTGATTTCTCCCTTTAAACTGTGTGCTTAACTTATTTTGATGAGCGCGTACATGATTCTGAACTGTTTCTGATATTTTTAAATTTAAAAAAAAATTGTTTTGTTTCTGGGCCATGTCTGGCAGTGGTTGGGGCTCTCAGGGTACTCTATGGGATGCCAGGGATCAAACCCAGGTCTGTTGCGTTGCAAGGTAGTTGCCCTATCTGCGTACTGTCACTTTGGCCTGTTTCAGATATTTTCTTTCTGTTATTTTAGAAGCAAGAATATTTTCTAAACTTCTCATTTAACCCATATTTGAATTCCTATAAAACTCACTAATTAAAAAAGAAAGGCAGCTTTATTAAACTATGAGTAAAATTGATGTTTACAGAAAAATTTGAAAGAGCATAGGGATGAATAATTAAATGAAGGAAATTATTAATTTTTAAGCTGGAATTGATTAAGGGACTTTAGGATGCCAGATTCTAGAGATGATGGTTTTTAATGGTATAGTAGATTTCCTCTGCTTGATTTTGGATGGCGTGGGAAAAAATGTTTACTCTGAGATGTAAGATCTGTTGGGGAGGTATATGTGTGGCTGAAAGAATAACCCAGCACAGTTCTGAGTTTTCTGAATGACTAATGAAAGTGTTTTAGTTAAATTTTGAAAAGCATGTTTTTAAGCTTTGGGGTGATAAAAACAAAAAGTAGTAGATAATGTTAATTCTTCAAAATTCTCTCCCTATCTGAGAACAAAAGAGATAAAGTAAAATGATTTTAAGACCTGTTAAAATGATTTCAACATTCCTGTTCTCTGTACCCTTTCAAGTCTATTTTTATTCATTTTAATGATAACTAGTTTAGGATTGGTTAATAATATTTGCAGTAATACAGAGTTTTGTCAGGACCAAACACTTCCATGTAAAGAAGGAAGCCCTGTCATTTCCTTTTTTTCTTTTTTTCTTTCTCTTTCTCCCCCCCCCACCCCCACACACACACCTTTTTGGTTCACACCTGGCAGTGGTGAGGGTTACTCCTGGCAGTGCTCAAGGAAATAAATGGAAGTTGGCTGTGTGCTGCAAGGCACATGCCCTACCTGCTGTACTATAATGCCAGCCCAGAAGCCCTGTAATTTCTAGTATAGAACATTGAAAAATTATTTTAATAATTTGAACAAGAAATATGAAAGGCATAAAACCTTGTAGGAGAAAAATTAATAAATTTGAATAAATGAATTTTGTTATCCTTAATTATAGATTGACATAATTAGACTGATACAGAGCAACAGGAACTCTTATCTTTGCTGGTGAAATGCAAAATGGTATAGCTGTTTTGAAAGACAGACTGGCAACTTCTTGTACATCAAACTCTTGCCATATGATCTAGCAGTCATGTTCTTCGATATTTATCCAAAAGAGTTGAAAACTTATGTCCACATAGAAACTTGTATGTGACTGTTTATAGCAGCTTCATTCCTAATTGCCAAGACTTGGAAGCAACTGGGAGATTTTTCAGTTGGTGAATGAATAAATAACCTGTGGTACATCCAAACGGTGGAATATTATTCAGTGCTAAACAGAATGTGCTAACAAGTCATGAGATTACTTGGAGGAATTATAATTGCTTGTAACTAAGTAAAAGAAGCCAATCTGAAAAGTTATTCTCTGTTGGATTCAAACTACATGGTGTTCTGCATATTGCAAAACTCTTGAGCTATATAGTAGCTTTGAAAGGATTAGGACAAAGAAACAGGATTTGGGGAGCAACAAAGCTATTCTGTTCATCATATCATTAAATGTCAACCCTTGAATCTGAGAGTCAGGAGGTGAGGCACGTGACTTGGATCCTGTTACTGCATTTGGTTCCGGGATCACCTGAAAGAGTGGCCCCTGGATACTTCTGGATATGGCCTTAAGAAAAAAAAAAAAAGAAACAGGGACTAAAAATATGGTACAGCAGGTGAGGTGTTTGCCATGTAACACCCAGCAGACCTGGGTTTAAATTCCAGCCCTACAAGCACTGCCAGGGGTGATAACTAAATGCTGAGCTAGGAGTAAGCCGAGCACAAGCCAGGTATGATCAAGCCAGGTATGATTCGGGGCATGGGGAAAAAAAAGTCAGCCCTGCTGTGATAAACATGTTTATCAAGATGAGCAGAGGAGGTTATAAGTGTATTTATAATATGAAGGCTGTTTTCCCACTTACTATTTGAACCTAAAGTGCTCTGAAACATGTTTGTTCAAAAAAAAAATTAATGTCTCCTTGAAAGATAGCCCAAAACCAGAAAACTTAGAACTAATTATAAGCATGTAAAAAGTCTTTGAACTGATACATTTGCATGTTAAATAAATGATAAGGATATACCATGTCTGATGGAATAAGTAGTATAAAAACAGGGTTCAGAACTGTTATGATGATAGTGGGGTGGGCACAGGAGCTTGAGAGAGAAACAGAGGTTAATGTCCTTTGCTTGCAGACAATGGGTTTGATTCCTGGTACCATGTTTGCTTCCCCAAGCACCTCCAGGGGTTCTTCCTGAACACAGAACCAAGAATAGCCCTGACCACTACCAGATATGTGTGTTGTTTCCCACCCCTTTACCTCCAAATAAAATAAGCAAGGAGGGGGCACAGATTAAAAGGCGTTTGCTCATATGCTTCATGAAATATTATGACTGGGCACACACAGAACTGGCAGCATGGCGTGTGTTTGGTTAGGGAGTGGTGAGAAGTGAGGATTGTTTAGGCTGTCATTGAACCCTCCATACTTGACCTTACATTAAGCAATTGAATATATTTTGAATTCTTAGGGTAAAAATCATCTGAGTTTTGTGTGATAATTGGTTAGGAGATACAGGGCATTTTATTAGTAGTAATATTTTGTAAATGTTGCCTTGCATATTTTAAAATTAAATCCTTTTGTTTCAGGATCTCCAGCAGAACTCTCTCCTACTACTCTTTCCCCTGTGAATCATAGTTTGGGTAAGATGCGAATACTTTTCTCCACTTGTTGGATATTGTGTTACATAATAATCTGTACTCTCTCTGTTTTTCATATATAAATAAATATACATGATTAGTGCTTTCAAAAAATACTAGAGATAGTACAGGGGTTAAGGCACTTGCTTTGCATCCAGCTGACCTTGGTTTGATCCCCTGCACCACCTGGTGCAGCTCCTTAATTATTACTAAAACTCTATTCTACTTGTACATAGGAATGTGAGGATCTAATCATGCTCCCCCCCCATGGAAATCATACATTGTCCGTGACTTCATGATATCTAATATTAATATGAGATATATTACTGTATTTGGGCTGTAGCGATAGCACAGCGGTAGGGCGCTTGCCTTGCGCACGGCCAGCCCGGCCGAGCTGGGTTCAATTCCTCCACCCCTCTTGGAGAGCCCGGCAAGCTACTGAGAGTATCTCGCCCGCACGGCAAAGCCTGGCAAGCTACCTGTGACGTATTCGATATGCCAAACACAGTAAAAGAAGTCTCACAATGGAGACGTTACTGGGCCCGCTCAAGCAAATAAATGAACAACGGGAGGACGTGCTATATTACTATGTTTATTAATATACTAATAAATATACATGTGTGATAGTGCATATATGGAAGATATGTGTTGGAGTTAGTCTGTGTGTTTGATATGTTTTAATCAAAATTACAGAAGTACCTGTGATTATAGGTTGTAAAATATGTTTAATACTGGGCTGGAGCAATAGCATAGCGGGTAGGGCATTTGCCTTGCAAGCGGCTGACCCACGTTCGATTCCTCCGCCCCTCTCAGAGAGCCCGGCCAGCTGCTGAGAGTATTCCGCCTGCACGGCAAAGCCTGGCAAGCTACCCGTGATGTATTCGATATGCCAAAAACAGTAACAACAAGTCTCACAATGGAGACATTACTGTTGCCCGCTCGAACAAATTGATGAACAACAGGAGAACAGTGACTGTGTCAGTGATGTTTAATACCGTATTCTTTTTCTGCTTGCATACTTTTTGTGTTTCATTGCCATTTCTTGTATATGTGCCAGTTTTCTAATTTTCTGACTAAGGTAATTCATTCTGATTCTCATGTGCAAATTAGCAAAGGTAAAAAAGGTGTCATTTTATATCCTGCTATTATGGCAATTTTTCATCTTTGACACTTTTATTTTTCTTTTTGGGTGTCACACCCGGCGATGCACAGGGGTTACTCTTGGCTCATGCACTCAGGAATTATTCCTGGTGGTGCTCGGGGGACCATATGGGATTCTGCGAATCGAACCTCGGTAGGCTGCTTGCAAGGCAAATGCCCTACCCGCTGTGCTATCGCTCCAGCCCCTATCTTTGACTCTTAACTCGTTAATCTTTGCTTTAGATTTATTTTGTTCTCCAAAAATTAACTTTATTATGAAAATTTATTTCCTTTTCTGTGATTTTAAATTTAAGTAAACTATAGTAAAATTGGGCTGGAGCAATAGCACAGCAGGTAGGGCGTCTGCCTTGCACACAGCCGACCTGGGTTCGATTCCTCCACCCCTCTCGGAGAGCCCAGCAAGCTTCCGAGAGTATCTCGCCCGCACAGCAAAGCCTGGCAAGATACCTGTGACGTATTCAATATGCCAAAAACAGTAACAACAAGTCTCACAATTTGTTGTGAGTTGTTACTGGTGCCTGCTTGAGCAAATCGATGAACAACGGGAGGACAGTGCTACTACAGTGCTACAGTAAAATTATTAGTGAAACAATGCTCCACCATGAAAATCTTAAAAAGTTGTTTAATGGGTTGAATGAATGACTTACAGAAATGGGAGGCATATGAAAATTTTTAAATCTGTAAAGTGAAGTAGATTTCTATCTGCTTCCTTAACTATTAATAGAATAAGCTAGCATGGAGCGTGTAAATAGAATGATAGTCAATCTATTCTTGGCTTAAATTATTCACATGTCTTTTATGGTTTCTCTCTGTCCTCTCCCCCCCAGATTTGCAGCCGGTTACTTACTCAGAACCTGCATTTTGGTGTTCAATAGCATATTATGAATTAAACCAGAGGGTTGGAGAGACCTTCCATGCATCTCAGCCCTCACTCACGGTAGATGGCTTCACAGATCCTTCAAATTCAGAGAGATTCTGCTTAGGTTTACTCTCCAACGTCAATCGAAATGCTACAGTAGAAATGACGAGAAGACACATAGGTATGTTTTCCTTTCCCTTGTGTAGTAAGAAATGCCATATACACCTCTTGAGCATTGTGTGGCTCACTACATCAGGCAGTTGTTTGCAAAAAGGTTATTTCTGCCTTTGCTATCAGTTACAGTGCATTCTCATTTTAGCACCAGACTCCACTGCTTTGAAGTAATCCGGGTGATTCTTCCATCTGCAAACACTTTAGCTTCAAGCCTACCTACTACCCTTGGTATGGGAAGTCTTTCAGTATGTGTTTCTTTGGCTCTTTTCTTTCTTTGTTTTGGGGGGCCTACCTGGAGAGGCTCCTGACTCTGCAGGCTCAGAAATTACTCCTGTCGGTACTTTGGGGGTAGTAGGGATGCTGGGGATTGAACCCAGGTCAGCTGTATGCAAGGTATGCACCCTGTTTTCTGTACTCTATCTCTGACCCTCCTTCAATATGTGTTAAAATAATTTGACTTTTCTGAGACTTCCCCAGTTTTTAAATTCTGTATAGGTTTTAGGATGATAATTTTAACAAATTAACAAAAGTTTTTTACTTTGTATCTCCTAGTTTTTCAACTCCCTTCAGTGAATTCATATATTAAGTTAAACTTGCTCACTTTAAAATCTGAGGCCTGTTACCTGAAACAAGACTTGCATTCAGAAAATAATTCAAAGGATCTCAAACTGTGGTCCTTACAGAACCTTTTCAAGCAAGTTTGTGGGGTCAGAACGATATTCTCAGTGGTGCTAAGATGCTTTTTTTTTTTGTCTTACTCTCATTCTCTAAAGTGAACAGAGAAGTACTTCAGAAGCTACGTGAAATATGACTTTGTAAGAGATTAAATGTAGAATTGATGAGAATACAGCTTGTTTGTTAAATTGAGCAATAAAGAGCTTTGCAAAAATATAAAACATTGTCATTTTTTTTACTTTCTTTTGCTTTGAAGTATAGTCAGTCATTTTATGATAGGGTTATTTCTATAATGGTTAATTAATGATTAAATATTTTAATTAATGGTGATTTTAATTAATGATTAAATATTTTAAATCACAAAATTTTCCTTCAATATCACCCACATGCACAAAAACATTGGGGGTCTTCAGTTTTGTTTTTGATGAGATTAAAGAATTTAAGTATTGGGGCTGGAGTGATAGCACAGTGGGTAGGGCGTTTGCCTTGCACGCAGCCAACATGACCGACACAGGTTCGATTCCCAGCACCCCATATGGTCCCCTGAGCACTGCCAGGAGCAATTTCTGAGTGCATGAGGCAGGAGTAACCCCTGAGCATCACCAGGTGTGACCCAAAAAGAAAAAAAAAGAATTTAAGTATTATTAATATGATTGAGTATAGTTTTTATTATCTTAAGTAACAACAGTAGTTGGCTTCTGTGAGAAGCTATTATATATTCATATCATAATATTAAGGTACCTTATAAAAATAATCATTGTATCCTGTGAGAAATAATGCTTTGTTAAAGAGTTAGTGTGATACTACAGTGATCTAGGGACTAGTATCTTACGAGGTCTGTTACTTGGCTTCTTGTGAAAAACCTCAAATCTTACTTGGTGTATAAATTTTGTATAATATTTGGTAAGGTTAGAGGATGACTTGTAGGTGAGATGAGAATAGCCCTCTTAATTAAAATAGGTTTTTTTTTTAATGTGTTTTGAACTCATGTTTTATGCATAAATTTTATGCATAAAAATTTAACAGTTTTCACCTCTACCGTTTTCACCTCTACTAAGTTTAGATTGCTGTAGTCTTTGGATCATCTTTTTACTTCTAGTTTTTAGTTTATTGAGTGGATTCGATTAAAGAATTTAGATATATCTCCAGTTTTGGAGTGTTATGATATTCTGGTGAGTGGTAGTTTTACAAATATTTTTTAGTCATAAGAGTACAGGGTAAACTAGAAACTAGAAGAGTAACAGTTTACAACAGTAAACCCCCGAGTAACAGGGTTACTCCTGGCTTTGCACTGAGGAATTACTCCTGATGGTGCTCAGGGCATCATATGGGATGCTGGGAATCAAAGCCAGGTCGGCCACGTGTAAGGCAAATACCCTACCTGCTGTGCTATCGCTCCAGCCCTCAGTGTAGGCATTTTTTGTACAAACTTTAGTTTATTCCTTTCAAGGTCACTTAGTTTCTTAGAAATTGTTTTACTACCCATTCATTTTCTATATTTTCAAAGTACTTTTGATGGGCATGTTTTTATAAATAATAAAATTAATGTTAAAATACTTTATATATAAAACTACAGAGAAGGATGTTTCAGAGTCAAATTTCACAGAAATAGAGCTGTGGAAAGGTTGTCAGACATCCTTGTCTTATTTTAGTGTTCTTCCTAGAAGACTTTTCCAAGTCATGCTGAAATGTTTGATTCTCTAAGACTAATCCCTATGTACTTTGTTTTAGGAAGAGGTGTGCGCTTATATTACATAGGTGGGGAAGTCTTTGCTGAGTGCCTAAGTGATAGTGCAATCTTTGTGCAGAGCCCCAACTGTAATCAGAGATACGGCTGGCACCCTGCAACAGTGTGTAAAATCCCACCAGGTATGCATATAATGTCAATGAACTTATTTCCTCCATTTATTGAGGTTTTTAGACATTATTAATTTCAGAAATCAGATCATTTGCATGCTTGTATTCCATTATCTGTAATCCTTTTAAAAATTATCTTCTCATGATTCTCTTTTTACATGTTTTTTTCCTACTTTTTTCAATTATAGGCTGTAATCTGAAGATCTTCAACAACCAGGAGTTTGCTGCTCTTCTGGCCCAGTCCGTTAATCAGGGGTTTGAAGCCGTGTATCAGCTAACTAGAATGTGCACCATAAGAATGAGTTTTGTTAAAGGCTGGGGAGCAGAATACCGGTATGAAACACATATTCAGTTCTTAAATTTCCAACTGTGATTCTTTTCTCCCTTCCTTGCATCGTCTATGACTTATGCACATCTGTTTTCATTGGGATTGAGTCAGATATTTGAAATAATGATATTACGGTACCTTTCTGTACTGACACTAGAGAATAGAGAATGAAAATAATGTGTAGACATGCTCTGCATCTTACTGCAGAGTGTCAAATACCATGTGAGAAATAGACTTGAAGTGTTACGGCAGTGTGTGGAAGGAGAGGCATTTTTACTGGGCTCAGGGCTTGTGGTAGAGGTGGCATATGAGTTCAGCCTCAAAAAGGCATAAAATTTCTGTAGTTAAAGGTAGGAGTGGGTGGAGGTAATGGTCCTGAACCACAGACACAGTTCAGTTCTATCAGAGTATAGAAAATAAAAATCATTGGAGACTTAAATACAAGATTAAGGGGTAGAACTCTCCTAAAGAGACTATGGGGTACTAGATATCACACTTTATTGTAGGTGTGTGCTCTACCATTTGTGCCATATCCCTGCCTGCTATTCTGGGTTTTTGGTTTGGGGGTTGTTGTTTTTCGTTTTTGTTCTTGTTTTTCTGTGGCTTCTTGTCACAGGGGCAGGGGTCGTTGGGCAGAGGTGGTATACCATGTGCTGCTGGTAATCTAATCTGGGATTGCTGCATGCAGAGTATGCACTCCAGCTCTTACCGTCCCCTTATAGTACATTTTTATGTCAGACATTTTTTCTTTCAAGAATTAGAATGTTGAAACATACGCTAGAAATTCAGTGGTCTTAAATATAAATAGCATTGCACTATAAGAATTCTACGTATATCTGTAGTTCTGTTAAGAGTAATTTTAATTTGTAGAGAAAGATGATGCCACTCTTTACCTAGAGGTAAATTAAAATTCAAAAACTGGGATGAAACAATAGTATACAGTATGTTGTTGTATGTATTTGGGTGTTAGGAACATCTAATTGTATGTATTTGGTGTTAGGAACATCTAATTTGGATAATAAAATAGTACACTTTAGCATTTTCCTATTAAAAATCATGACAGATACCCATATATCTGTAAACTATGGATAGTAATGAGAACTTTTATCTTTAATAATACTGGAAATAAATACAGAAATACATGATTAGATTTGCAAAATTATTTTTCTCTTTAATGCCAACTTAATTGCCAGCATAAAATCAAATAAAAAGAAAATAATTGAGAATTACAGCTGAATTAAGTGAATCAGTGCTGTAATGCATACAGAGAGAGGATGAATAATTTGGCTGGTGCATTTCTGTGCCCAAATAAGTATAATAATAGCCTCCATGATCTCCGTGACCTCTGGGACCTGAATGAAGAATTATTCCTGAAGATTAAACTGATCTCAGTGACTTGATTGAAAACAAACTGGCAAATACTTAGAACTCAACAAATGGTAAAATCAAAAGTAAAGAAGATCTTGGCAAAATTACTGCAGAATACCTAATCCAAGGGAATAATAGAACAAAACAGTAGAAAGATTAAACAACAGAATGAACAAAGATGTACAACTCAACCATTATAACATGATTCAACTTGTAAACTGTGCTAACCCAGTTCCTTGCACATAAAGCGAAGTGTTTCAGAGTATCTGCAAGTCAGATTTGAGTCTGTTGTATTCTCCTTCACTTCTCATGTTTTAAGAATGATCATATATCAGAATGTCTAATGTATATCACTCAGAACCGAAGACAAGAATTCAAGTGCCAGGAATTTGTTCAGGAAGTTGAAGAAAGTAGGGGAGAATGGTTGAGGGAAGTGAGATAGGAGAGGAAGGCTGCCAGTGCCATTATTAAACCACCTCCTAATGTGGGTGGGTCACTTGAGTATGTTCCCTTGGAAAACTTGGAAAATAGTAAGGAACACAGAATAATTTCACCAAGGGAGAAAGGAAACTGGACATTTAAATGCCAGTTCCTGTGTCATCGGTTGATGGCTGCTCTTGGGGTGTGACTTTCCTGGACCTTGCCTGCTCTACACGTGGACAGAACAGAGAGTTCAGGCACAGAAATTCAGCCACTTAAAATTAGAGTTGCTAGAGAACACAAAAAACTCAAAAGATTATTGATGGAGCATCTATAGTATATGCTGCAGAAAGCCACATCGTTGGAAAACGATTTTAAATTATGCTGAAGGGAGCTGGAGCAATAGATCGCACAGTGGGGAGGGCATTTATTTGCCTTGCATGCAGCCGACCTGGCTTCGATTCCCAGCATTCCATATGGTCCTCTGAGCACCGCCAGGAGTAATTCCTGAGTGCACAGCTAGGAGTAACCCTTGTGCATTGCCACGTGTGACCCAAAAAGCAAAAATAAATAAATTATACTGCATATGCATCACTTGGAGGTGAAACATTGATAATGGCCTTTTCTCATCTTCGAAGACTATTGCATTGAAGGAGCAGACTTCCTGACTTACTGTATATAGTAATTAAGACAGAACAGAAACAGTACAGGGAGGTGGCAGGATGTCACTTAACACTTCATAATTCCCAGATAATAGTCCCTTTCATAAGTGCAGAGATGTTGCTTATTAGAAACCTCCATGATGTTATTCGGAGGAATATTGTACATTAAATTTGTTGGGGAAAATTGAATTCTTACCATTTGGAGATAAACTTGAGCCAAAGTTCTGGTTTGTTTTACATCTAAATCCTACTGCATTTGCTATTTGAGTATCTTCTGTTCTGTTGTTGATTGACAGCAGGGTTTGGGTTCTGGTTAACTGGGAACAATATTTATGTCTCCGCTCCTCCCCCTCCCCAAACCCCCATGGAATTATCCTCCTTGGTAAGTAATTAAGTCATCCTACAAATTTCAGTTTAAGGGGGGGAAAATGTTTTTGTAAAGGACTTTGAAGGAAACGAAAGGTTCTTAGTAGCACATTGTTAGACTCTGAGGACGAAACTTTCTCGGATAATAAACTTTCCAAACTTAATACATGCTCAAAAGTATTTAGGTTCTAGAATATATAACTTTAAATTTATTTTTTTACATATATAAGCTAAAAAAGCTTTTGTTACCTCTTGTATTCTTTTAAACAGGAGGCAAACAGTTACAAGCACTCCTTGCTGGATTGAACTTCATCTGAATGGACCTCTACAGTGGTTGGACAAAGTATTAACTCAGATGGGATCCCCTTCAGTGCGTTGCTCAAGCATGTCATAAGGCTTCGTCACCAATCAAGTCCCATCAAAAGACTTTTGTAACAACTCTTCTGTCATAGTATTTGTGTGTGGTTCCCCATGGACTGTTTACTATCCAAACATTCAAGAAAGAAAACAGCACTTGAGGTCTCATCAATTAAAGCACCTTGTGGAATCAGTTTCCTATATTCGAATATTAGATGGGAAATTTAGTGTCTAGAAATTCCCTCCCATAAAGGAGGAAGAGAATTTAAAGACTTAACTGATGTCTTGTTGGGCATAAAACGGAGTGTCCCAAAGGTTTATTAATAACAATAGTAGTAACGTGTACAGGTAATGTATCATGATACAGTATCACAGTATTGTGCTGTTTATATACATTTTTAGTTTGCATAAATTAGGTGTGTGTGCGTGCGTGTGTGTGTGTGTGTGCGCGTGTGTGTGTGTGTGTGTGTGCCCTGCTTCATGATTTAGGCAAGCCCTTATAAAGTTACAGTACCTAGTCTGTCATTCCCACTTCTCCGTTATTTTTATGTCTTTTTTTAATATATAATATATATATCAAGATTTTCAAATTATCATTTAGAAGCAGATATCCCTTCTAGGAAAACTAATTTTTCTGCCTTTTACCAAAAATAAACTCTTGGGGGAAGAAAAGTGGATTAAGTTTTGGTATCCTTGACTTCGGTGTGTACAGTGGATCTTAAATAGTGGTTCTTTTTTGTCTTTTTAGTTTACTACTAAATTTCATAAGGAAACCTTGCTGAAAAAAATCTTTCCCAAATTTCTTCCTTATCCTACTTTATCGCGATACCAAAACAGCATAGCATGATATCCAATGCCAGTAATGATTGCACTGATACTACTAGCACCAGTTGATTCTGGGGTACTAGAAATTCATATGGAGAAGTCCCTGTATCTTACACGAAATTTCAGCAGATTAATTTAACTTAACAGTCTATTGATTTATTCTTGCACCTTGTAAAAAATGCACAGGTGACAGAATAATTATTTTCAGGGATATGTTACAATTACTTCAGTATACTTACCCTTTTAAAAAGCCAATCTACATATATAAAACCCCTTTATATTCTTTGATTTGACTAGTTTCCTTTGATACAGTTACCAGATTGTATTAAGAAATGGGCCTTTTGTAAATGTAATTGGTTCTGCAAAATATAGAAGTGATGCTGAGGTATGATGAGCAGGTAAGATCTTTTAAAAAGTGTATTGTATTCAATTTATAAGATTTGTTATTTTACATAATTGTTAATTCAGAATATTTTTAATTGGGAGAGAAGCCGTTTAGCAAGTGTTTTGAGTTTTTTTTTTAATTAAAAATAATTTTTTTTAACCTACAGTCTGAACTCTTCTTAACTAATCCTAGATACATGGTTGTCTGTTATAACCAGTCATCTTTTATGCTCAGCAGTGAGAGATTTTAGAAGCTCTGCTGATAATCCATTCTGCAGCAAATATTCTTGTCTAATGTTAACTCACTGCAATTTAAACATTTTTTTGTGTGTATCTCAGTAGAAATGGAAAATAACCACTTCTGATCCCCTTATAGTAAATTTTTGTATTCTTGAAGATAGGTATCTTTGGTACTTGTTCTTTGAAATCATATTCACCCATTTCTACAAGTACCGTTTTTCAGTACTTTAAACATTTGGCTGTTTTCCTATTAGGTAGTCCCCATTTTTCTATATTTGTGTGTATATGTATGTGTTCATGTAAACTTGGTATAATGATTTTTTTTTATTCGTTGAAATATATTTATTGTTCTCTGATATGTAAACAAAAGTGCCAGGAATTTTCTCAGCCTTGAGTATAAGGTAAACAGGATGGCTAGAGCCTCTACCTTTGCTGTGAGTATTTATAATTCTGGATCAGCTTGCTTGTCAGCGAAAGAGACAGAGTATTGTGGTAGAGCAGGACAGAAAGAAAGACTTCTTTAAAGATGTGATGCTGGGTGGGGCAGGCACTTTGTGGCAAGGAGAATGGTAGCAAATCCAAAGGTGCGTTTGAAAGGAAATTGACAATTGCTTTATATAAAAACCTCTACACAGGTCCAAGTTTGAGAGTTAGAATGGGTCTAAGTTTATAATAGTTGATAGTGGCCTTATTTTATGATCGACTGTCATTTCTCATGAATATTTCTTACTCCTCAAACCCTGCTATAAACTTTTGTCATTGCACCAGGTCAGTGTCATTTAATTAACCACTCCTTCTTTATATCTGCCCTGAGAAAAATTTTTACTGTTCTGGTAATTGCCTCTTCACTTCTAGACTTGCTGCTACCCACTCAGTGAGTACTACTTCTGCCTGGCATCTTGTATTAGAGTGAACGTCCCTAGTTTGACAGCTGTGAGACTGCTGGATAAAATCAGTGGAACCTCTGCCCTTTGTGTACATGAGAACTGGTAGTGATGTTATCAAACAACTTTGAAGGCAGTAGAATGTCCTGGCATTTTAATTTGCACCCACATGTTAAGTGTCATGGAGTCAACTCCATAGAGCCTTTTGGAGGATCAGACCTCCCTAGCCATGGTGGGGTGTCTTGGTGCATGTGCCAGCTCTTGTGCCTGCCAAACATTGGACTTCCAGGGTGTGATTAATTTTCTTGTGTGACTATGACTTAATGATTCGATTTTCCTTTTAATGAGATACTGCTTGCATTCTGTTTTGTCTGTTGTGGGTTCATTTGTTAGTTTTGCTCTGAGAGAGATTATTTTCATTCTTCTGAGTGATAAGTTCTCCTCTCTATTAAATTTTGCCAGTACTTAAATTCTGAGCATTATTCAGAATATTCCCTTTACAGGTGAAGGTAACTTTCTTCAGTTTTAATAACATGAGGATTACAGGGCCATGCTTTCTATCACATTTCCAACCTGATCAGTGATTCCCACTGTGGGTTTTATGAAGACAGCTCAGTACTGCATTAGGGAATTGGCATCTGGTGACATTCTCACTGACTTTGGTCTCATCAGTTATAGTTCTGTTTTTATTTTATGTCAAGAGTTGTATTTAGGTTTTCTTTTTTGTTTTGTTTTGCTTTTTGGATCACACCCGGCGATGCATAGGGGTTACTCCTGGCAGAGCTCGGGGAGCCATATGGATGTTGGGAATCAAACCCGGGTTGGCTGTGTGCAAGGCAAACACCCTACCTGCTGTGCTATCACTCCAGCCCCAGGATTTCTTTTCTAAAAGAATATTAAGTCTGTATAGTAAATGGTTAAAAGTAGAAGATACAGTTGGATTCTGTAGGCACTCTCCCCATCAGTAGGAAGAACCCTGCTTACATTCTACTCATCCTACATTAAGAAATTTTCCTGATTTGGGTTTGAGTTACACTGGTTACACATTGTGATATATACCCATTCGATAAACATTTACTGATTTCTGTTCTTTATTCAGCCACTGTGATAAATGCTGGGTGATAAAAAAAGATGGCTAGTGTTTGGTTCCGACTTTTACGCTGTGTTCTTTTCTCATTTGGGACCCATCAGTTAATAAGGAAAGCTGCCCAATTTTTCTTGAAAGTTAAAAATATTCTTGATCTGTACTCTTCTTTTATATTCCAAGTATATATTTGCAAATTGTTTGACATACAGGGTTGTTTTGAACATTAATATGATTTCGCCTGTCAATTTTAAAGTTGTCAGATTTTCATTGTTAAAATTATTTCAATTTTTCTTTACTTGTGCCTTTATTGTTAGTTTCATTGGGACTTAAGAATTTGAAGGTGAAAAACAATCATTCTCATCATTTGCTAGTTGAAATCAAATAAAAGAGTATATATAACAGTTGATTTCTCTACCTCTTTCAAAAGGTATCCAAATATACCTTGGAGATTTTTATTTTATTTTTTTTAATAAGTAAGTACTTCAAGAACTTATTCAGTAATAGGTACCTCCTGATCCTGGTGGTGAGTTACAAAGCAACAAGTGCAAGTCTTTACTTAAAATTTGTCTTTTGGGCCTGAAGGTGAAAGAGCTAGCTCAGTGGGCTGTGAATGCATGCCTGAGTTTGATCCCTGGCATGTCATGGTTTCTTTAGCACTGCCAGTAATTACTCCTGATTACAGAGCTGGGAGTAGTCCCGAGCACCACCTGGTATGGCCCAAAATTCAAATGAACAAAGAAAAGTCCTTATTTAGCCTTGCATTCATAGCCAAACATTTCAGCTTTAGTTTGCTTCCCATTTCCATCCCCTGCTATCCTAAATAATCTGTGGGTGTAAGCAGCACGTGATCTCTTTTCACTGATCTAACACATTAATATTGGGAGATAAATTATTGCCCGTTTGCATTCTTTCATGAGCTTTGCCAAATGCTTTATATTCACCTGAGTTTTGGTCTTCCTCACCTGTTGCTGTATCTTGGTAGTATTGCTGGTTGCCTTTTCCTTGCTATTCATGTTGTAGCTACATATGTGAGAATGTTTCTCTGGAACTTGAGTAAAGACCAAAAAGAATGGTGCTGTTCATACCCAGGGTCCTAAGTTCTTCACCGTGAAGGTTATAATATTGTTTAAGTGTGTCAATCATTAAAATTTTAGATACGGCTCAGAAATTCACTCCAGCAAAATGTCTTTGTGACCAGCAAATAGCATGAATCATGAGATTCTATTTAAAATTATCTTTACGGTGATAATCTTTTACTAGCCCTGCTTCTACCTTGGAGCATATTGAATTGTTATATTTAGTACAATCAGAAGAAATAATGAAAGTGTGTGGTCTGTAGAAGTAGTCAGAATCCTACTGTTGAGTTCTTTTTTATCTTTACATGTTTTTGTGAATATTTTGTCTGTTCAGGCTGCCGTTGATGTACGGGATTGAGAGACAAATTATCTCTGGCAGTGGAAATCCTGTGTTTGTAGCCTCTCAAGCAGAAAATATGAGCTGTACTAGATACAGATAGCCTCATAATAGCCTTTATGATAAGAATTTGTCTATGTGTTCATATAATTTCTTGGGTAGGAATTGTTTTATCTTGAATAAATTATAACTGACTTTATATATAACATAACTGCCTTAAATCTTTAGTAGAAAATAAATTATATAATGTGTGTGTATGGGTTTACATAACACACAGAAAAAACTTAAGGATCAGTTGTCTGTATACACTTTAACAATGTTGAGTGATTCTGTTGTTTCCATTTCAGATCTTAGCAAAAAAGTTCTGAGTTTGTTGCAAACAGTTTCCTTTCATAGAGACTTTCTGATTCTACGTGAGACCTAATTTGTTGGTTCATCTAGTGTACTATTTTTAGGCAGCTTGAGAAGTTAAGAATTATAACAGCAATACATTACTATCAAAAAATGGTTTTCACCTATGTCCTGTCATTAAATTATTCCATATCCAGTGGTCTGTGAAAGGTATTACTTAAAATGAGGGGTGTGTGTGTGTGTGTGTGTGTGTGTGTGTATGTGTGTGTATTAAGTATACACACCCCATTTATTTCTTTTGCCTTCCAGTATAAGATTGCTGAGTAAGGTATTCTAGTTAGTACCAGCACCATATCAAGTTCTTACATATTTTGAGGCTAGCCTGGTATTGGTTCAGATTTTAATTTCTTAGCTGTATCTAGCAGGAGTGGATTGTTCTGTTCGTTCAACTATCTCTGATCCACAGATACAGGAATATGTTAATCTAAGTTAC